AGGATACCTGGCATTTCTGGTCCCAAAGGACGAGACGATACGACATCTATGCAAAATTCCAATGCCCTCATCGAAATCTCACATGTATCAAAGTCCTCCACAATCTGCGGGAGCCCCAAAAGAACCCGGAGCACCCGAAATGCCAGGCAGTTGCGTCGACCTGGCCAACCTGGACAATGGGCAACAAAGGCATGCATGGTCCTCCAGGCCCTCCGGCGATGAACGACTTTATAGTGTACGAGAACCTGTAGGGAGACGTGTGGAAAAGATCAGGACGCAAGACGACGTAAAGAATTATCTAGACCAGCTGGGGGTCGGAGTCCTTTCGATGCATGGTAAACTGACCCTGTTGAAAACAAAGTATGTTTGAGGCTGTGAGTCTTATCGGTTTCACGGTCGAGCTGGTTCATCAGGGAACGTTAGGGCCGTTTAGGCACTCCAGAAATAACCGGTCCTAAGCTACACTATCCTGGAAGTGCTCCTGCCTCCCAGCCAGCCATGGTTCCCCCGCGTATTATCCCGGTCGTGCTCATCCTAGTGCAGTGAGTGAGTATCCAGTATCGATGAATGGAGGAGCCATAGGTATGGAAGAAAATCCGCAAGGAGATTCAAGGTTCTGAAAAACATTAAAAATGTAAATTGAAGTGGCTTCTCCAGAACCCGCAATAAACATTTGCATCAAGTTTTTGTAGCATTCCTAGCTTTTGCACCCCCTGCATGACCGGAAATTGAAAGCTTGAATTTCTTATGTGTGTGTCATGTGTACATGGAAGATGCCATACCTCCAGATAATTTAAAATAAGAAAACATTTTCTGAAACTTTTATGAAGGCTTTTTCGTAAAGTGTAACGAAATTGGCTTTGCAACTAATAATATGAAATGACAAACCAATTTGGTTACTGTAGCATTATAGTTGAAACTGCAATAAAAAGTGATAGCCAAACGCTCTTCTTAGCGTCGAGGTAGGACCTCCCAGCAAAGAACGTCACGAGCTAGCTGCCGTTCCAGTGAAAAAAAAATTAGAAAAATCGGAGGCAGGCAATCAAACTTTCTACGAGTTGCAAAGTTTTTTAAATTCGAGTGATTACATTTGAGGATTACTGAAAACGCATGTATAGATTGAAAACTAGGTTTTGCAACCTTTCAGTAAATTTCCTCTCTTTCAACATGGCGCACTCAAAAATCGCCATTATGTTAGGCTATGACGTAAGTTACAGTAGCTGCTGTTCTGACAAATTCTGACTTGCAATGAGGATTAAGGTGTAAGTATAAGCTATAGGATGTATGGGGAAAAATTGTAAAATATTACAGATTTGGCTAAAATCGGCGTAAAGGATGTCCCATTATACTGGTCATGAAAACAGTACCAAAATTGCATGGAAAGAGCATGTAAGGTTACTGTAGGTTTACAATATGCGGTCTCACATTAAACAAGATAAGAATTATTAGTTCAACATTCGTGTTAGGCAAGTCAAATAACTCCACTAAGCAAAGTCTCGGTAAATTTTGTAATTCCTACTTATTTCGGTCGTCCACGGGAGCCTTGCCGTAAATGACTAGTTCACTTTGTGAGAGCACTAAATCATGTCTTGAATTTATTTCTTCCTCTTTAAGGCAAAGAATATTGGCAATAATCAGACATTTCGGATTATTGCAAATAGTATAAATTGCTAACGATTTCATTTTTGCTTAAAACCTCGTAAATCCTCGAGTTCACTAGTCTTCTATAATGTTTGAAAATCTCTTAATCCTTGTTTGAAACTTGCAGTTCATGCGCATTTGTGGCACATAATATAGCGATCTACTATTGCCAAAGTTTGACTGCACTATAGTCAAAGGAATTAAAGTTATGAAAAAACTTAAAACATTCAGTATCCATCCTATTTACTGTATATCCTGCATAGTAACCCATGAACATAGGACGACAGTCAAGTGTCAACTACATTTGGAGAAGCGAATTTGATGAATCCAGAGTAAGAGATTTAAATTAGTTTCCTCGGGTAGAGGACTATACCGCCAAAAAGAAACAATTTTAATCACAATCACAATAATCTGCAACATAACTCACCCTGTACATGCGCGGAGGTGCGTATATGTCGCTGAGGTCCTGGCGGAACTTCCCACTTTCAGCGAGATATAGTTCGTTACCCGTTTCCTTGTTCAAGCAAAATACTCTCAAGAACCCAAAAGACACTTCCAATCACCAAAGTGCTGCAATAATGAGCAGGCAAGTAGTATCACTGTGGTAGGTGCTTTGGTCCGTTTTGTTAATAAGTTGAAGCGAACTAAACAATAGTAGCTGAAGATTGGCTGAAGACATTGGAGTAAGAAAGATATCCAGATCGAACACCGTGCTTATTTGTTGGGAAAGCCTGTATGTGTGGAAAACGATCTTGGTCTGTCTTTCACACTAAATGACCGGATATGCACTCATAGCCGCACTTTTATATCCCTTCGAGATTTTCCAGAAAAAGAAAGGGAAGGCCAAAATATGATTTTGCTCTACCGTGTCGGCAGTTGTGCTTTTTT